GCATCTTTTAGACTTAAATCATATTTATAACAGCTTATAGAGTTTAAATGTTAAAGGTAAAATTGGCTTTGGACATTTTCTGACCTCTGATTGGCAATATAGTTTCTTATGACTTTCTTATTTTACTGCTTGATTCAGAAATGACTGCTGGGTCATATTTACTGTATGGGATGAATTTATGTGTTTTTTGGGAGTTTTTGTTTGCAGCTATTTTAAATATAATTAAATTATATTATAAATACAGACTATCAATCTTAATTAAATATGAATACAATTAATTTTTATTATGCATGATAAAAAGAAGATTATCTCGATGGGTAACATAAATGTATTTGTTTTTCTTATGTAAAACTAATTTCATATTATTTAAATTTTTTTCTTGAGTATTTTGATTCAAAACAGGCCGACATATTTTCTTACGAAACAAATAAAACAAATAATTATGACTTAAAAAACATCATGGCTTATCTTCTCCTAGTATTTTAATCTTGTTGTTGAATCCAATATAAAAAGCATTTTATGTTTATCATCTAATTATCCTGAATATTGGTTAATATCAGTAACAATGGAAAAGGACTTCAAATATTTTAAATTAAAACTGTCTCTATGGTGATTAAAAAATAAGTGAAAACAAAAATTAGAGGGATTCACATAAGAGCTTTCATCAGATTCCTGATGATGACATAATTAATGTTGAAATATTGAATCCCGACACGATGCCGTGCATTTCGATACGTGGAGTATGTATTATACTATCTTAGCCTTCTGTAGTGTGATGTTGAAAACATGGGCCATTATAAAGAGAATTTCTTATGATGTACACACTGTATACTATCATGCTATTAATACTATTAATTATAAATGTGAGCAAGAGAAAAACATTCCTACTGAACTTCAGTATATTCGTTCCAAGGTATTCTGTAACTAGTTGTGCTGTGGGCTACTCTATGCAATACTGAATGCAAATTTATTTTGATGATCATGTATATATAACTCTTTTTAAATTAAATATCGAATAATTGGATTGTGAATAATTTGTTAATTTTGATGACCTTGTATATATAAATTTATTTATTAATTAATTATTGAGTATAATTGGATTTTGAATTTTATTAATTTTTAAAATTTTGTATTGTTTGTAACTGTAGGTATAATTTATTCTTGTAATACATATATATTTATATATATTTATTTGTAAACCAACGATTTCAGCCTACGGGCTGCCTGTTTTGGTGTTCTTTTTTATACCGTGAATAAAATAAAATAAATTTGGTTCTTCAGCAAAAGAATTGGTGGAAAATGATGAGTAATTATTGTTTAAATTCTTCATTTTGGTTTTACATACAGGTAACACATTTAATCTAAAGTAATTCATTTGAATTCAGTAATGAAACTCATTTCCTCTTAAACGATAATGATAACCATGATAACAAACGGTTATGAGTTTATTTCCTTAAAATTGTCATTTTATCAGAAATGAAACCGTTTGGAAAATTAAGTATGTTGAACACTAATACTGCTATGTGGTGCTATATTGTATGAAACCTGTTGATTGACAAAGAATGAAACTACACAAAATTAATTCTATATTTTTCAAGGGATGTGAGATACCTCGATGGGAGGTCGTGGCATTGTTTCATTCAAGTACTCAAAAGCATTCAGAGGGCATTTTTAATAAGGTACAGGGCTGCTTCAACACTGATGTCACCGAGAGACAGATACATGTGACAATTTCAATCAGGATACTCAGTAGCACAGCTGGGGACAATGTAGTGGTGACACATTACTGTACTAGACTTCAGCTCAAAAAGGAAGGAATATGGTAATATGCAAAATATGGACAAACGAGTTGATTTCCTTTTGCATTCCACGATGAAACCGTTTTTAGCAAGTTTGTGCAACAAGTGTATACGCTAGTTCTTTTATCTCTGATAGCAGAGAACGGGTTGAAAAGAGAATTTTAGATATAACTGTATGACTAGAATAAAAGAAAACCTTTGCATAGTATAATCTTGTATCAAAAAATAAATTTCATTTATTACTTTATAATAATAAATATGATATTATAATAATAACATATGCATATTTATATTGCACTTAAACTTTAAGTACCAAGGATAACATTCATTTTCCTATGATTCAATCAGATTTCAGAATGTTATCTGCAGGCTTTGGTCCAAATCCTGATAATTGTACTCCTATCTCTTCAGAATATATCATACAATACAACAATTTGTAAATTAAATATTTTCTATTATGTAAGTAATGTATTTTAAAGGAATAACTCATTATATTTCTTGATAGGTAGAAACAGTCTACAATGTCACTTTTCAAAATTATATTAATACATTCCTGCACCATAATATTGATTTCTTCTCATATTTTAATGTCTATGATCGTATTATCAGTACGCACTCAATACTAGACACTGTACTCTTATTAGTATTAAGACTAAAATGTCTTTTTCAGCAAGAAATGATTACCAGTAAATTATTTCTGGCATGGTACCATTTTTTTAAATCCAATTTTGAACAAACTAATTATCTATTCATCATAATGCAAAGAACCTTTTTTTTCACAAGGCTTAAAATAAGGAAAATTCATTTTTACAGGAGCAAAAAACATCTAAATTTAATGCATGAATTCTTGAAATGGAGATTACTCTGTTGACTTGTCTCAAAATGTATGCATTGAATATGTAATAATTACAGCAAGTCTCAAATTTGAACTTTCCCAGGGCAGCCTGAAACTCAGCTCTTGGAATTAATCGTAGCCTGCATCAAATAAATTACACTTCTTGCAAACAATGTAATCTGCTCCGGATAATAAAGGATATAAATGAATCGTCTAATACTAATAAACATCCTGATCATATGGAGTGGTAATTTTATCAAGGTGTACATCCATCCCATCCAGATATTAGATTCTCATGCTTTAGATTGGTAAAACTTTCTACCGGTAGTTGAATATTATAGAAAACAAACTTTAAATGCAATATTTACAGTGAAAAATCAATTTCAACATAAAAATATGAAAGTGATGACATATCAAATGATATTGGACGTGAACAATTAAAGGATCTGGGGCCAAATAAATTTTAAAAAAATTTAGGCTAACTTCTTGTTTTGCCTTCAAAAATCATGCAAAAAAATCCAAAATTTTTGCAAACAAAAAGAAATTGGCCCTGCATTTTCCTACTTGATGTGTATTTCATCCTGAAATTTGGCATATGAAATCCAATTGAAAAAAATTATTATAAATCAATGTCTTTTTAAATGCCCTACTAATATACAGTATGTAGTACATATGCATAATTTTGGTATAAACACTGATTGTTACTAAAAGATTTCTCTGTTTTAGTGAATCAGTATTAGACCACAGTGCGGCCCATCTCTTTATAAGAATGCAAAAAGTTAATTTGCAGTTAAATATATTTTAAACATGCTTGTTTCTAAAAATATACTTTTTGTCATATTTAAAAATTCTAATGTCCATATGAAGAGTCTTCCACTGTTTATGAGATCAAAGACACCTAAAATACAACAAAATAATGAAATAAAATAATTTAAACATATAAATTCCAGGAAACATACAGTAGTCATACTGTAGCATATGTTCCAAAAATGATATCCAATCTTAGATTCAGCGCTGGATAATCTGGGATTGGGCAATATAAATCCATATAATCCGTGGGGAATAAGATTCCGATTAGATAGATAAGCCTATCCAAAGGTTCAGTGGTTAACTGGGATATAGCACTAATTCCTGGTAAGGAATTGGATAAGATCAGGGGTATAAAATCCTAGAATGATCCAGATTAACTCCAAAGGGATTAGATCTATAGGCAGATCTTATAAAAAAAAATCCAGTTTTTCGATGAGGTACAGTAGTAAACAGCAGTAATATCCGAGTTCCTGCTGTAGTCCTCCGATGAAAAAGCACCCGGTATAATAATCCAAAGGACAGTACGCCCTTCACCCACTAAGTATATAATCCATGTATTAATCCACTAGAGGGTATTGTCCAGAATATTTCCATCCAATTGGTCTGTCACCAACAGTAATATCCAGAGCTTCTGCTGTAGTCACCAGCCATATTAGTGTGCCCCGCACCCAGTATAATATCCAAAGATGTGACTGTGTGCCCTGCACCTTGTATTATAATCCAAGGATATCATAGCACGCCCTGCACCCTGTATATATATCCAAGCACCGATAGAAATAATTCCAAAAGTTCCAGATGTAATATCCGTAAAAAGGAAACCACACAAGATTTCCGGTTTTTATTTGTTTTTACTTTTATTTCAAAAGAATTATATATTTTTCTTTTATTGTTTCACTACTTTATTAATTCTCTAAAAATAAAATTCCTTTTTTTCTGCTTCATATTTTCTTGGCACTTGAATTTGAAGCATTCTGAAGAAAAAATTACCGTAATAGTAGTTACAGTACTAATCCATTGTGGTACATCGCAGTGTATGTGGGGGTGTGTGTATGTGTAAATCCACAATAATCCATGTAAACAGTTAAAAATAGAAAGATACTGTATGTTTGGCTTACAAGCAACACTCAAGGTGCTACTAAAAACTAAATTTCTACATCTTGGTGAAAAGTGATATGGTCTGATTAAATGGATGACAAACTACAGAATAGGATTGAAGGTTAAAGTTCAATTCTGAGTTCTGCGTCCGTGAGTTCTCAGAGTTGTGCTTCGGACAGGGTGTGTAGAAGACGGCACAAAAACGTAAACAAATAAGGAAGAGAAAGTCATGCCAAAGGGAATGGTAACAACAACACCTTAGCAATACTAAATGCATCCTCTCCGTGCAGCTTGGGAATATCGTGAAATTCCCGGTGCTGCGGTAGGAAGAGCGTACATAGCGTGCGTTCCACTTACTTAGCACATTCGCACATCACTATTAAAAAAAAAACACAGGATAGTACTGTAGTGCTAACAATCTTCGTCAACATAAGTGTACATATCAACCACCGTGCACTTACCCCTCACCGCGACGTTCATATCGCGAGTGGCGACCGTGATTAGTGCCATCATAATCGCGATGGCGTGTTGCAGAGGGTTCGTCCGGTATCAAGGAGTTCGGTGAACGGTCTGGATTGTTGTACTCTATACGCAAGTCACGATCACCAAGTTTGATCACAGCATCGTGTGCTTTGGTGGCGCTATTTATATCCAAAAAATCCACTAAAGCGGTCGGACTTCCATCTGAATCTCGCTTCGCTAAAAGTTTCACATTTTCAACTCTTCCATATCTGAAAAATACAAATGAGAAAAAAACATCTAGCTTAAAATCATTGTACTTTATTTTTTCTCTACAATGGATTTAGATGTTCTATAAATTGTATGCACAAGGTTGTGATGGAGTGATTACGGTGCCATTTCCCAAATTCAAAGATTCTTGTTTAAATTATAACACAGAGCATTAATATTCAATAAATGTTAAACTCGCCAGATGACTCACTCGTGTATACTTGGGTAAAAAACAATTTCAATGACAAAAATTTACAATGACTGTTATAAATAATTTAACGTGTTCATTTCAATTCAAAGGTCACTTTTTCAAACTAACATTGTATTTTATAAAACTTATATTTCTTGGTCAATAACACATACAACACTAATTTTTCATGACAGACTGTTTTAAAATATTATAAAATAATACAATTTACAAGATGTACAGTATTATGCTACTAGTTAATACAAAAATAAAAATTCTAGAAATCTATACAAAAATGATTTAATTAAATATCACAGAAGGTTTCTAAAATATTAATTATAATTTGAATGTTCAAAACATATTTAGAAATGAAAAATGTAAAAAATTTATTTATCAAAATAATAATGCAATGGATTTTCTCAATATATTTCCATATTTGATTATTTGATGAAGCATCATCTCTTATTAAAAATTACGACCTTGTTCAATGCACATGGCCTTATATTTTTGGCGGTTTAAAGGCCAGTCATTCTATAAACGGAAATTTGCATCAGCTCAAGAGAATAGACTTGCGTCAGCATGCTGGGCCTGGTACGGTTATTATAATACACCATCTGTGGTGAATTACCACTCAACAACAAATTGAAGATCATCGACTATTATCAATGCTAAGAAGCTGTTATATTATTAAGTTTCAAAAAGTTCATAATTTTAAGTTATGAATATGAACTACAAAATAATCAGTTAACTATAATAACAATACTTGGAATTTGTGATGTGTTTCCTTTTGTTTTTGATCAATCTCAAAGTAAAATAATCATTTGATAAAATTATTAATAAATATAATAAACAATCTAAAAACTAATAAAACAGTGTTCTTATTACTATTTACACCTTTTTGTTTTCTAAATGTTGAATAATTTCTCATGTTTTACCATCAAAAATAAGTTGGTTTAATGCTAAGTTAAGATGTATTAAATATCTTCATGTTCTTAAAATTTTATTTCAAATTATTACCACCATATTATTTACTCCATTATCCGTCCAAAAAAAGGACTTCCAGGTCCCTCCATAGAAATAATCTCTGATTATAACAATGCTGTAGTTGGTTTTTCCATGTTTTTTTCTCTTTCAACAATGGACTTGGTATTTTTCGAGCTGATCCCTAAACTGCCACATCATTGCAAATTTTGAAACCATAATGGATAGGATATCAGCATAACACAGACAGTTTCTAAAAAAATTGTATGTAAAATTTACATACTTTCATGTATTTATGAATTTCAAGATTGTATCTAGAAACCAGATTAAATGCTCTAGTGAATTTTGTTTACTTCCTGCGATATAATTCATGAGATACATTCCAAATTGTATAAAAAACATGTAGTTTTAGTCTGTCTCTTGCTGAGGCCTTAATCAGTTTGCTAGGCAACCACAATTGACCCATTTAATAAGCTTGGCAAGTTGGTGTTTATGCATAGTTGGTGAGGCGTGAGGGCAAAGCAGATGAATATAGCCATACACAATGAACTCTGTATTGCGAATGCAAACTCAGTATAACATTGCACTGGTTTGTGAAAAAATATTGAAAGATTAAAAGGCAACAGAAGGGTCTGCCATGGAGGTACTATAGTATGTATGCCTCCAAGGTTGATATTTTGTAATGATTAAGTAATACGCTGTTGCAAAACCTAATATTGACATAATAAGTTTTAATTTTATTATAAATATAAGCAAATGTCTGTTAGCTACTATATCTTCAGTGTTAAGTGTTACTTAATTTATGTAGACCTATACTGTAGTATATGTACCAACTTTAAATTTATCTTTTCTAATTTCACTTATGTACGCCTACATATAACAATAAAATAATATAATTTATGCTCAATCTTCTTTTAAAATGTCATGTTAATTATTCCATTCCTTGTAAGAAATTACTTGTATATTTTACATAAAATATTAAATATTATAATAAATTGATATTATTTAAATTTTAAGCCAACTATTTTTGAAGTAAAATGAATAGACTATATACTAATAGTTTTGTAATATATTCTGTAATTTATGTTCACCCCTCCTCTTAACTTTGACAACAATCTTCAGATCATCACTTTCTATACAATGTATTTTTTTTTAATAGCAAAAAGTAAATTATTTTCATGACGCTAAATTATTTGATGAGGGCGGGGAAATGGAACTACCAAATAATTATATATGGCATATATAGTTATCAATAACTATAGTAGGACCACAGACTACAGACCACGGGAGGAAAGCAGAAAGATTGCAAGTATAACTACCGTATGTGGAACTCATGGATTGTCAGCAACAACAGCCCATGAATTCACTATAAATATGCATGCATCATTTGTAATTACAAATCCCCACAACTCCTTTAACTATAGCTGTCTAATTAATTAATATATTCAGACTCCCACATCAACTCTGAATAATCAGGCATGCTGGGATATCGTATTGGGTTACATGCCAAAAGCAATAACAGAGCGACCTTGGCCCGGCCATCATGAGAGAAAAAGCAACTCAACAAGAATGAGCAGCATCCAGATTTTATGCATCTCATCTATTTTACGATTAGTTATAAAAGCATTATTACTAAAAATTTTAATATCAAATAATGACCTGAATCCAAAATGAATCCAAAATCATTTTCTTTTTATTCTACTAAAAGCAATCCAATTTTTTTTTTTTTTTTAAACTTCATATTTGGGTATTTATAACATCTATAGTATAACAAATCTCATCAGGCATGTTATAAAATTGCTAGAATAGACTGCTCATCATAATATGTATAGTGTTATAAATAGCAATTACTATGTATTGATGTAGCAGATCTCATCTCATGGAACATGTTGCTACAGTAATTATAAGCCTCTAATGTTCTAAATTAACAGTACTTATAAATTTAAAAAAAAAGGAAGACACTTATCATTCTCGTATAATATATTCAACACTTGCTATTGGCTTACTATGAAAAACCTCAAAATTTCTTATTTTGAATGGTAAGAACTACTTTTTTTTCTTCTTTTTTTTCATGTTTGTTGGTGTATTTTTATATTGTTTGTACATAATCTTATCACCATATTGCAGTATGTTATTGGGTTTTTTTTGTTTTGTTTTTTTTAATTTAAATGACTAATTTTTTTTATTGTCTTGTGCAATCCTTAATTTTTTTTCTTGTTTTATTGTTTTTAAAATGCTGCTTGATTGTTCCTTGTACAGTATTATATTTCTTATTAATGTAATTCAGTTTTAACTTGACTATGAGTATGAATTTGATGAATACAATACTTGAATAACAAATCTGAACAAAAAATGATCATTTTACCTTAACATCAATCAATTTGTAATATAAAAAAATAATAATTTCTTTAGTACCAATATGTAAGCTGATATTTTAATATCCCCTGATAGAATGAGTAACAAAAAAAAGCTTATTGAATATCCTAATAACTGCTTACAAAAGCCCTTAGAATTACTAATTGTATCCGATGTTGTTGCACTGAGAATGAATACTTGACTCAAAATCAGGTGACACCCAAGGTATTAAACATTAAGTAGCCATTAGGAAAATGAAGTAAACAGACATGGATTAACTACACTTGTTCACTCCAGCTAGACCAGGGTTTAAGGTCCCTGGCTGAATAATAATTACAATGAGCACTGTCTATAATATTATTATTAGACTGGAAAATACAGTAATTTATCGAGGGTGTGTAGAAATAACCCAACAACGCAATCCTGTAATTTATACAGGGCTTCACATTACAGTAATTACTGTAGCTCCATCTGCATTTTTGTTAGGTGATTGTTGGTACTAATATGACACCTAGGCCTCTATAGAAGGGAATGTGTGTAATATGTACAGATCAAAAAACGTAATTCTATAAACCTACAAAGAACAGACTCCCCTGTTCTGTTCTTCCACCCACCTACCCTTCCATCATTTGACATCAGATTTCCCAGGGATAATAGATTGCATTCATGTGCCTGAGTTTAGCAAAGCAAGAATAACGTATTGTGTGCTAATAATGACGTATTGAATAAAATTAAAATTTTATTTTTTATCAATTAACGCACCTGTCACCACGAAAAAATGGAAATTTCAGAAAAAAATAAAATTTTTCCTTTATTTTTATTACGCCTGCTGCTTCATTGTAATCTCTAAAAATAAGGTATATTTCTTTCTAATGATATAAATTTAAAGCATATAATCACTCTATTAACTACACTGTTTACAATACCTTCACCAATAGAAATTTGTATTTATTTTTTCCTCTGTCTGGAAGTTTTTGGTAAAACCATTTGCTAAATAAGAAAACAAAATTTTACTTTTATATTTTTCCCCCCCTCCTCTGACAATCCATAAACAAATAAGTTCGCGTAACTAGGCATAAAAAGTTTCGCCATTACAAATGTTAATGATGAATAATCAACAGTTTTCTCATAATAGTTATTATGGTATTTCATAATGTAGACCCCCCCCCCAGGAAAATGGGGAGGGGGGAGACAGGCATGATCGCCGACCGGCACTCCAAAAAGCTGGTGACATCCCTGAGTACTAACTACATTGTGTAAGGTGCAACTTGTCGCAAAGTAAGTACTGTTTTACTAAACATAAAAGATGAGTTACTGTACTGGTATTTTGATAGTTGAAATTATAAGCTATACTTACGCATGAAAACATACTTTAGAGAAAATCTCCTCTACAAATACACAATCAACATTTCTTGCTGGTTTTCTTATCAATTCTGAGGAACAGGCCACTTTTGTGCCTCAAAACAATTTTAACATACA